TTTATAAAGGGGTTTGTCTGTGCAGTAATATCACAGTATATGTAATAGGGTCAACCATGCAGCTTCTGCCTTAAGATTTGCTAAGGAGTTTTAATCTATGTCGGTCACTGTCACCTTATAATAGTGCTGTCTTCTATTCAATTTCAAATTCTAAATGATCATTTAAGAAAAGCCATTTTTGCCTGGAAACTGTTGTCTCCTGGTGAAGTGGGGGAAGTTTCCAGTGGGTCATCTGAGGAGTCATTTCCAAGAAAGGTGTTGACATTTTTCAATATTTTTGTGTATTACAGTATCTTCAGCCAGAATGGGCTCTCTATATAAACACAAGGGATCTGGGTCACAGCTATTCCAGCATCTGGTCATGCCTCAGTTATCTGACATTCAGCATTTAAAATACTTTCCTGGGGTACCTGCCTGGGTGGCTTAGTTGGTTGAGCTTCCCACACTTGTTTTCAGCTCAGGCCATGATCTCACGATTCATGGGTTTGAGCCCTGCATCAGGTTTTGTGCTGACAGTATGAAGCTTGCTTGGGATTCCCTCCTTCTCTCTCTGCCCCTCATCTGTTTTCTCTCATTCTGTCTCTCAAAAAATTAAATAAATAAATAAATAAATAAATAAATGGAATGTTTTCCTTATGCTATCTAGTAAACAGGGCCACCCTAGTACTTAGTACTTACAGTCTTAGATTGTTTTTCACCATCCTCTTAGTTCAGATGTAGGATCTAATACTTCAGATGCTAATCAGGACATACGAAGAAACACAAGACCAAGATAGCTTATAAAACACATATCTTTCAATGTTCTGAGGTAGAGAATAGCATAGTGCCCAAGGTCCTGAAGCCAATGACAGGAGATAAACACACCAAGAGAAAAGATGACAAGTGACAAGCAGATTGATCCCATTTCCCTCACTTCTATCTCCACTTCATAATATGAAATGTGTGTGAGTGCTTAGTGTTAAATGTTGGAATGGACACGAACTTACAGGTAGCCCGTATAATGCTGAAGGAAGGGGTTTCTCAGAGTCTATACATGTCTTGGCTAAAAATATACTCTTTAGACAAACCTAAGGCTGTACTGCACTAACTTCTTTATAGTTGTGTAATTTCCTTTTAGTATAACATAGACTAGCTTCTGTCTCCTTTCAAGTTTACTCAAGCTAGTTGCCCCAAGGAACTTCCAAGGTATTATGGTCTCAGAGAGCACTTGTAGAATGGGTTCCTCTTGCTTACCATTTCTTTCATGGAATCACGCCTTGGGGATTGGCACACCTAGTGTTTAGAGAAAAAATGTTGACCAGTGGAATCCGGTTGGTGAGAAGAATACCCCCAAAGCTATGTAACTAAAGAACTTTTTGAGTGATATTAATATGCAGGACCTACAGTACTTCTCTAGCCCTTCTTTCTTCTTGGAGTATTCTTTCCCTAATTACTTAAAAGGCTAATTTCCTCACTTCCTTCAAGTTCCCCCACCATATCCTTGTTCAAATGAGGCTTCTGTAATGACCCTGTTTAATTCTGTAACTTGAGCTGGCCCCACATCACAGCATCCCAGTAACCCTAATGTAATGTCTGATTTTTTTTTTCATAGCTTATGCACACAGTATAAAGCTCATTTTATATTTATTTGGTATACCTTCACTAAAATTTAAGACCCATGACAGGGAGAGGACTTTGACTATTTTGTTCTCTGAGGTTATCACAAACTTGGCACACAGCAAGAGGTCAAAGTACATTGACTGAATGGATGAACATGTTTCTTACAGCAAAGACGGTGGAAGGTAAAAGCCAAACTGAATTCTGGAGAGACTTTAGAAAACCACCATGAAGAGTTACAGAAATGTGCATTTTCCTGCTGGGGAGAAACATGGTGAATTAGATTGCTTGATATATATAATTTGCTCATGAATTCTGGGAAAAGAGAAATGGGCATTCTTGTTCCCTAATAGATTTTTGTTTCCATTTCCCTTGTTCACAATGAATTTTAATCACCATGTCACACTAGAAACAAAAGTTAGTACACAGCCTTTGTGCTTTCCTGTGGTCGACGCCACAGCTCAGATTTCAGACAAATAAGAATGTCAGCCAATGTTAATTTTGTTGTTATTTATGCATTCTCCTGGAATCAGTTGCTAACATGCCATTCTCCCTAGGAAACACTGATTGGTATTCAGTGAGTTTTCTAAGATTCCTATTTCCTACAGATTCACTATTTGAGAAGGTTTTTAAAAGATGTCAAACTCAGTAATGTTTCCAAAGAGCAGAACTAGAGGGCCAGGTCCATTGCCTATGAAATTTGTCAGGCCTATTTTTAGATGTTAAGTTTCAATAAAATGAAGATCAATAAAGAAATTCATCTTGGATACATCTTGAGTTATTACCATTCCACACTATTTTGTTCGAAAAAAAATGATATATATAAACACATGAATATGTATATATATACACCTTTATCTGTGTATGTGTCTTCACTATCATTATCATGAAAGTAATGGAAAGAATACTGACTTTGAAGCTAAACAGACTTCAGTTGGAATATGAACAACACCAGTTTGCATCCCTTTTACTCTAAAAACAATCCTATTTCAATGAGAAATTTTATGTTCTTCTAAATAATCTTCGTTAGATTTCTGATATAGTTATTGGTGAACAGTTGGTACTCAATAAAAAGTAGTCACTATTTAATAAATATGGATGCAACTCAACTTTCTCATGATCATCAGAAATTGTTCTGACTTCTAAGAGAATTGTAATCACTTTTGATAAAGAAAGAGAAGGAAAAATGGACATGGAAGAGGTCACTAGCCATTTCATGTAAGGAACGAAGGAAAGGGGAATCAATGTCAATTTAATCATTAAACCCAGATTCCATTCCTGGAAGTCTAACATTGAAAACTATTCTGAATTAGGCCTCCATAGAGAAAAATATTTCACATTACCTGGAAGAAATAATTCCTTGCCTCTTTAAATTACTATAGTATGGGGGCGCCTGGGTGGCTTAGTCGGTTAAGCGTCCGACTTTCCGACTTTCGGTTAGGTCATGATCTCGCGGTTTGTGGGTTCGAGCCCCGTGTCGGGCTCTGTGCTGACTGCCAGCTCGGAGCCTGGAGCCTGTTTCAGTCTGTGACTCCCTCTCTCTCTGACCCTCCCCTGCTCACGCTGTCTCTCTCTCCTAGAAATAAATAAAACATTTCAATAATAAATAAATAAATAAATTACTATAGTATGCCTTCAAAGGAAAGGAAGTATTCTCTTTCCAGAGGAAATGAGCACACTCCAAATAGCAACAATAAGGGTTGCCATCTTGGTAGTGCCTGCTATGTACTGAGCACTAGGACTGACATTTTCATACCTAGTCTGTAGGTGTTCAACCCTCAACACAGGCAGTATAATTAGACACGTTTTATTGAAAAGGGAAATGTCTTATAGAAGTTGTATAGCTTGCCCAAAAAACACACAATTAATAAATGGCAATATAATTTTAATCCACTTCTATTCAAAATCAAAAGGAACAAAGATCTCAGGCTTTATGTCATTTCCAGGTCTGATGCTTCCTCTCAATATCAGTGTTTTCATTTTAATTTTAGAGAGAGAAAGAGTGCAATACTGTGAGCAGGGGAGGGGAAGAGGGAGAAGAAGAAAGAGAATCTTAAGCAGGCTCCACACACAGCATGGAGCCTGATGTGGACTCCATGAGATCACAACCTGAGCCAAAATCAAGAGTCAGACACATAACTGACTGAGCTACCCAGGTGCCCCTCAATATCAGTGTTTGTAAAGACCGGACACATGCTCATACAACTAGGGAGAATTCTGTGAGATAATAAATTAATCTGTAAAGGATCGTAAATTATATCTACCTCTTCTGCTTCTGAGGTATAGAATAATATGAATCTAAGGGGTCAACTTGGTAAAAAGTGAACAATCGATATATGAGGACTTGAATATACACTGCTTTCAATGGTGGAGTGGAGGAAATGAGTGGCTAAGAATCTGACAACAGGAATTTGCCCCTTTATTCCTCTACTCCTGCCCCCACCCCATATGTACATTATTTCAGATGCAAAAAATAGCTAAGTCCATCAATAATGCCTGTTGAGTTTGACTTTTTGATTAATTTCTACAGGAAGATTTTTTTTTTTTTTTTTGCCTCATTTTACTTTTCACTGGGGAAGTGATTCTCAGATCCTACAAACTACAAGAAACAAGAGGAAAGGTCTGTCTAAAATAGCTACATTTTTAACAGACAGAGCTCAGGGCAGCTGTCCAGCAGGAATTACCACAAATTTCTCCCCCAAAGACTTCTGAATAGCCAGCTGCAAATGACTTCTGTCATTATCAAACTCGGCCTACCATAAGCCAACAACCCAGAGAAAAATATACTGGAGGCCTCCACTAACGGTCATACCTGCAGTCAGGCATAATATAAACATTATAAAACTATTAAAATAGAGCTGCTAATCTAGGTCAATGCTTTCCTTAAAATTCTCTGTATTAGAGACAATGTCATAGGGTGGCATGTATTAGGGACAGAACTGCATTAGAATTAGTGTGTCACTGCCCATTAGCTATGTAATCTCAAAAATATTTAAGCATCAACAGCTTCATGTACAAAATGAAGATACCATGAGTGGCTTCTTGTTATAAAAATGAGGTGTGACATGTCAGGCAATGATAAACAATGGTTATTGAGCCCTTATTATGTGCCAGGTTCTAGATGAAGTCGGTACTGCTATATGAGTAAACTAAGGCACTAGACTTAAGTTACTTGCTGAAATTCACAAATTTGGAAAGTCACAGAAATAGGATTAGTACCCACAGAATCAACACAGCCCATTCTCTTAGCGCACAGTGCTAGAGTGCTTACAATGGATCTCTATACTGAGTAAAGATACAACTGTTAGGGGTCACAGCTACTATTATTATCATTAACATCCCCATACCACATAAACTGAGGTTTTCTAGAACACCGAATACTCATGCCAAAGAATGCACAATACCTGGGACATGGCTGCAAAAGTTCCTCAACAATGCAGGCCTCTTTCTCAAGAAGTTCAGGACATTTCTTTCCACCTCCAATAGCAATGTGCCTCACATTCCGGCTCCTGCTCCTAAATCCTGGTGAGAGACTTCCTGAACGACACGTCTTGGAGCAAGGGCTCCAGGAAGACCACTCAGTGGTTTCACAGTCTTTTGGCATGATGCAGGACTGGACTGTCAAAGGGAAGGAGTCTTGCATGCAAAGGCTGAAAGAAGAGAAGAAAAAAATTCAGTAGGGCATAGATTAAACATATGCAACCAACATTATGAAGTGCCTGTTATGGGAAAACAAACAAACAAACAAACCTGAAATTTGATACGAGATTTCAAAGGATTTTAAAAAGTGTTAGAGGCATTATATAAAACAACAAAGGACATATATCTTAAGAATGTATGCTCTCTTCTATCTGCAACTGTGAAGTTATTTCACTCTAGCAAGACACACATGTACACACGTGTACCTTGTGCAAAGCATTATCAGAAATAATGACATAACCAACAATAACCAAACTATGGACAGATTTGACTGATGAATGGATAAAGATGTGGTATACATATAGAATGGGATATTACCCAGCCATCCAAAAGAATGAAATCTTGTCATTTGCAATGATATGGATGGAGCCAAAGCGTATTATGCTAAGCAAAATCAGTCAATCAAAAAAGACAAATACTATATGATTTTAGTCATATGTGGAATTAAAGAAACAAAACAGATGAACATGTGGGAGGGCGGGAGAGAGAAGAGAGGGAAACAAACCACAAGAGACTCTTACCGATAGAGAAACAGGTAGGGTATGGGGTTGATGGGCTAGATGGGTAATGTGCCTTAAAGAGGACACTTATTGTGATGAACACTGGATGTTGTAAGTGATGAATTCTACTCTTAAAACCAAGGTCATACTGTTTGTTAACCAGTTCAAATTTAAATTTAAATTTAAAAAAATAAAATAAAATATTAAATAAAATTTAAAAAAAAGAAGGAGGGTTCTTCTAGTGTATTTTCAACTGCACTATAACTTACAGCTGTCATTTACTGACTGGTTCCCAGGTGTCACACACACTGTGCTGTACCTCACAGGCACTTTTTTGCAACAATCCCATGAGTTTATGTATTACTATCACCATTTGTAGAAAATTTAGGCTCAGGAAATAATTTGTCTAAGGTCAAATAAAAGTAACAGTAAACTGTAGAGTACTGATCTATCCTTTCTTTTCATACTGAGCTATGAAAAAACAAACAAATGTGCTATCATGTTTCCCCACACTGTTAGGCTCTGAGCATCAATTTCCTCATTTGCAAAATTCAGGTGCTGTCAAACACTAACAATCTAATTGGGAAATAGATAAATATATAAAAAAAGATAGGATACAATGATAATGTGTAAATTCAACATAAAATCATTTAAAATGATGAGGAGAAAAATTGATGAGGCAGTGATGGACCACCTGGAAAGGCCTGGCAAATGGGAGGGGGTAGGGGTTTTGAAGAGAGAAGGACATAAGAGCTGTATTTCTTTTAAAGACTGATGGATGGCTAGGTCAGTCAACTGTCTGACTCTCAATTTCTGCTCAGGCCATGATATCACGGTTCATGAGTTTGAGCCCCACATCAGGCTCCACTCTGATGGCGTAGAGCCGGCTTGTAATTCTCTGTCTCTCCATCTTTCTCTGCCCCATCAGTGCTCTCTCTCTCTCTCTCTCTCTCTCTTTCTCTCTCTCTCTCAAAAAAAAAAAAAAAAAGAAAAAGAAAAAGAAAAAAGACTGATGGGAGCTTCTCAGGCACAAAAAGGAGACTATTTTAGGTCACCAAAATAGCATATAAAGCCTTGTGACAATGGAAACCAGTGGTATTCTAGTGCTGGATGTACTGTTTCCCAAGAACTAAATAATAACTTTGCAGGAATTTTGCAAACCAGTTGATTTCATGCAGATTGGTTAAGATTGGCCATGGTAGGAATATTTACACGGCAGAAATCAACAGATGCTACAAATCAAGCTCCTCATCCCCACCCTAACCTGATGTCGGGTCCCAGAGAACAGGTGGTGCACATCAAAGGGGAAAGTAAAAGCCAATTTGTCAACTGTCATAATTTGTCAATTTAAAGCATAAAGTTCAAAGAGGAAAGTGGATAATATTAGGTATGCGGATTCTTCAAAAGTATGCCTGGAAAGGCTTCATATCATCAAGCTAATAAATTTGGATTTAATTGAGCATTAAATAATTTTAAGTGAGAAAAATCAGTTAGACCCCTCTAGTAAAATAATATTTCACATATCAATTGGTGTTCTTATTTTTTTTTCACCGTTTTTGTTGTTAGCCTTTTCCTTATGCTGTCAAAACCATCCATTACATTGGGAAGAAAAGGATAATTTTGACAGGAATGTAAGCCAATATATGTTCAAATACTGACTACCCAAAGTGAACCGGTGAAACCTGGTGGAATAATGAACTGTATTTAGGATTAGGTAATGGTTGTTCTGCATGTTTCTGACTTGAGAACATAAAGCTGATAAGGAAATCACCAACAGGGAAATGGATTATAGAAGGTGATGTGCAGGGGAGAATAAAACATGGTCAAATTTAAGCAAATTATAGTAAGATTTGCATATTTATACCCTTCATTCCTTCATGAGGTCACAGAGAGTGTGGCTTTCAGAAGTCAAAATGACATAAGATAAGCATTGTGTGTGTGTATGTGTGTATATTCAAATTTATTCAGATCATATTCCTTTCAATATGAAAAAAAGACAATGTATACATTATTACCATTGCTCACTCCAATGTTACATTTTGGGAGCTTGGGGTTAAGACACACTAGGAAGAGTCTCTCTTGAAAATGCTCCACTTGTGTCAGAATGTACTATCTCTGTGCCTTGTGTAGATAAGGGGAGAAGACTATCTCTTTTGGTGAATAATACAACAGAAACCTATTGATCAAGAAGTTTCTAGGTTTTCACTTTTCAGAAATTGTTATTGGCTTCCAAATTCATATAACGAAGTACTAGCCCTTAGTACCTCAGAATGTGTCTGAATTTGAAGTCTTTAGAAAGGCAATTAAATTAAAATGAGGTCTCTAGGGTTGGACCGAATCCAGTATGAATGGTCTCCTTATAAGAAGAGATTAGGAAGCAGGCACAGAGAAGGAAGACTACATGAAGACACAGAGAGAAGACAACTGTCTAAAAGCAAAAGAGAGAGAGCTCAGAAGAAACCAACCTCATTGACACCCGTTCTTGAACAATCCACACTACAGAACATGGAGAAAATTAATTTCTGTTGTTTCAGTCACCCAGTCAGCAATACTTTGTTAAGACAGCCTTAGCACACTAACACAAAAATTTGATGATGTTTTTCAATTTGTGTGTTTTCAGAAACACAGTCTCAACTTCCAAGATGCACTTCGAACCACACAATGAGGTTCTCTGTCTACAGCTGAAGTGATGATTTGGTTCTTCCCATTTACCAGCTTTCACTCTCTATTGCTCGTTTGCCCCAAAATGACTTTTCCTACTGGACCAGTAGAATGGATAATAAGACTTGCAAGAAGTTTTGGGGAATAATTGGGAAATTTTGCATTTTTGAAAAGGAATCCTAATTTTTGGAACTAGGAAGAACATATGTTCCACTGATTACATATTTATTTACTTATTTTTATTTTTGATATTTATTTTTGAGAGCATGGGCAGGGAAGGGTCAGAGAGACAAGGAGACAGAACATCCAACCAGGCTCTGTACCGTCAGCACAGAGTCCAGTGTGGGGCTCAAATTCATGAACCATGAGATCATGACCTGGGCTGAAACCAAGACTTGGATGCTTAACCATCTGAGCCACCCAAGTGCCCAAATTTACATATTTTTAATGATATTTTCACAAACCTACCTTCTTGGTTAAAAATAGTCATAAAAGATGGCACATAGAGCCCTGGTCTACTTTGATCAGTGAAATTTCATTTTATCGGAATACGCAGACAAGCGCTTAGTGGTGAATAAGAAATATCTGAGACCTGAATTTTGCATTACAATATGTTAGCATGGCCTTAGTCTCTCGGCTACTTAGTTTCACTATCTGCAGGAAAAAGTAATAAAATGTGATTTAGTCACCCCCTTATCATAGTCATAATAACCTTTAGTATGAGTAAAATCACCTTATAAACTAAAGCCCATAACAAATATTATTGTCTACACATAAAATGGGAATCAAACCTTTCATAGAAGGTGGTATTTTTAATAAAAACAGACATACACTATGGATTTGTCTATTTAAAAAAAGAGATGCTATGGTAATTATACCTCCTTGACATTTACAGAACACATCATTTCTAAATTATTTCACAAGTATTCATTGTAAAGGAAATCATTGAAACTAAAAATTACTCTAGTAATTCTTACTTGTTCTGAAAATGTAAAGATATCTCTTTATTTAGAAAAGAAGGACAGAAACTCTTATGAGATAAAAATCAAGAGAAAAGTATTCTCCCCTCATCAAAACTTCAATAGTTAATACTAATTATCTCAAACATTCAGAAAAGTAGAGTTATATGATGCATACTCCGACTTTACTAGCAGAAATTAACATGTATGTCAAATTTTGCTAAATAAATTAAAAATTACAAATTCAGGTAAAATCTCTTGTAATGCCATTTCCAACTTTCTTCAGACACAGCCACTGACCTGAAATTGATTTTTAGTATTCTCTACAATGTTTTTAGACTTTAAATAAACATGTCTATGCACATAACTATCATATAGCATTCATTGTCTTGCATGTCTTTAAATGTTTTACTTAAATATTATTTTACTAAACATATCATTCTGGAAATTATCTTCCTCACTTAATATTATGACTTCTCAATCTATCTATGTTGATGAATACAGATAATGTTTATTTATTTCTATTATCTGTATGAATACATAGCAATTAATTTATTCATTTTCCTATTACTGCACCTTTTGGTTGTGGTTAATTTCTTGCAATTCCCAAGGGTAATGATTTGAATCTCTTCTATACCTCTCTGATATAAATGTGTACATTTACTACACATGTGTAATATAATTTCTTCATCATTTTTGCCTTGAGTTAGGCCATAGATATTAATATAATCAAATATACTAGGTATTGTGAGATGTCTCCTTTCTTACATGCTTAAAGAGGTATTATCAGACATATTTTTTTCAAAATGTTGGAAAATTACATTTGGTTTT